TGAGCAGACCATGGCTACATCAGAGAACCTAAACTACTGTGTCCCATCATTTTGGGACACCTCCATGTAATCAGAATAGCATCCTAAAGTCCTATTCATCCTATAAATGTGAATATACACATTCATACACACAAATTACCCTCGCCAATGCGGCAACAAAAAACACTTCTACTCAGCAAAAATATTGTGAGTAGGCTTCAATTTCTTTTTCCAAACGGACTAGTGGGACACTTTGAAATAACTTGATAGAGTCCACTTCGCAGCTTGTTCAGCTCCTGTTCTATAAATCCCCAAAGCAATACCTTTATTTTTTTTTACAACAGTATTGTAGTTCAACAAATTATGTCTTTCTTCCCCCTCTGGGCCCTATGGATAACTGTCCTCATCAAACTACCTCCTCTGAGGGAAGAGAGACTGAGCCACCTCTTACACTGCACTGGAAGTTACCGTCCTCCGCAAGGTCTGCTGTGCAGCCGCAGGGAACCAGATGAACAGACCAAATGCACAGAATGTGTAAGGCCGGGTTGTAGCAAAAAGAATGCCAGTGCGGCAACAATGGAGTTATGGCACCTGTCTGAACTCAGAACAGCTCGTGGGCTCCTCAACTACATGGGCCCATCCCCCTCAGTCTCTCACTCAATGTTCCTAAACTCCCTACCTGCTCCAGTACTTGCACACGCTCTCCAGCTGCCATCAGCCCAATGCTTACACACGCAACAGCTGTGTGATGGAGGGATGACCTGGACTGGTAACTGGGAGTAATCCACAAGAGGGGTCTTCCTCAGTACTGTCCCTATTATCAACATCAACCACTTGAGTGCTATTTGTGGAATGAATGAATGAAGAACCTGGACTTCCACAGCTCCAATAGTAAGACCTGGGGTACATCCCCACAGGGACCCACCTGGAGGGAGACAGACCAGTGCCAACATAGCCTTGACAGTTTTGGAACATCACAACTGTGAGGGCAAACAGAGGGAACAAAAGGAGAAAGACAGAAAACTTGAGTGGGAAGGGAGGGAGATCACAGAGGGAGGAAGAGGGGGAATGAAGATCAGCTATTGGCTAAAACAATACTTACTACAGGCTTGCATAGCAACTCATTTAATCTCAATGCTATCATCGAAAGTGCTGATACTAATGCATTTCTAAATGGGAAGGCCTAGAATCAAGTTAAGCTACTTGACCAGAATCACATAGCTAGTACTTGGCACTCAAGTTTGGAAAATTTATCTCCAAACTCCAGGATCCTAGACCACACTTGCCATAGTGTACCCCACAGAATACACTACCTCCTCTGGGGACCTGTGAGGTGTGTAATAAAACCATAAAAACTGACTTGTCCTCAAAGGAAAAGTAGGAATATGGTAGATTATGTGAGCTTTTTCACCACAAGATTTCCTAGAACTTTGAAATTGTTAACGAGCCCAGTGAATTTCTAAGAGATGACCAGAATACATGTGTGTTCCACACAGACATATCCAGTGACTGCTTTCTTGGAGAAACAGCTGCAGGACCAAATCCCTCTTTGAGAAGCACTAGCCTTGACTGTGCTCCCAACTTGGCTGGGGGCCATTGGAGGGGAGGTGCAGGGAAAAGGGAAAAGAGGCAAAGGGGACTTGCAACCAGAGTCACCAGAGCCCTGCAGCTTCACCAGCCTCCACCTCCCTCGCCTGTGCCTGCATTTGCCCACAGCTGCCTCCAACTGCCCAGCCTGCTCTGTGCTCTCTGTGGGGCATCTTTTGTGAATTTCACAAAGGAAAGCTCTCATCTGAGTTAACAGTTGTTCCCTTCAATTCTGAACTCCTGTCCATCCCTTTTGGGAGGAGATTTGGCATTAAATCATTATAAAAATAAAAGGATATACCTCTTTACCCTAACCTCAGAAAGAACCCCTGAAAACCTTCAGTTAATGGATATTATTTTCCTGTGATGGAGCATCAATGAGTCCCTTAAAGATAATGAGTGAAGGCTGCGGGACCCTCATTTGACAGCACAGGTGAGCACTCTTCTCCTCACTGCCTTGGAGTCGATGACGTGATGCTGAGTGCCAGCTCCGTGAAGCCCTCTGTTCAAAGTGCAGCAAATAAGCAGAGAGGAATTACAGTTCTGTACTTATTTCTTAACTACATGGAGCCTTCTAACTGTTTGCACCAACATCCAAGACAACCAGAAGCTACAAGGCATCTCAGAGGTTAAGTACAGAATTGAGGTGGTAAGTGTGACCACTTGTGACAGCCAGTGCCTAGGGCTCAATGAATGATGATATGCAGAAGACTCAAAGTCCTGCATGAGTGACATCATTTATGTGTATGTGTAGAACTTCTAAGCACAACTGTGCAGTTACCAAAATCCTCTAAAGTAACACCCCTATCATATCCCTTCTGTGCTCAAAAGCTTTCTGTCTCCCCAGTGCCAAGGACATAGAGGAATGATATGAAATGCCTTTCACAATCTGCTCAAATCATCTTTCTGAATACACTATCCCAGAATTCCCCATGCTGGTGGTCAAGCCTACTCCTCACCACCTTCACCTTAAAGCCCCCTCTACCCCAAGGCCCAGCCCAAACTTATCACTGAAACTTTGAACATGTTTTTCTGCAAGTTTATGTTTTTCTGCAAAGTAAAAGTCTCTCCCAACCACAAACCCACCTTCACTACACTGAATTGTGTTTCTGCTTAGAAGGGGAGATGGCTTCTCTCGCTGCTGACAACTTCCACTGGAGTTCAGGCACTCTCCCATTTCCTGGAAGATGAAAGGCTCCTCACCTTGCATGCCTGTGGTTTCCATTTTCCCACATGGTGTCAGCGCCAGTATAGTACCTTCCTGTTTTTATTGAGTAGCACACAGTGTAATTGATGACATCTGTTGGGATTGATATTTTAAGTGAAGGCTATTTTCAGTCTGCCTGCTCTGCCTTGCTCAGTATATAAATAGTCACAGCAGCCACACAGGCAAAAAATGGGGCTTCTCAGTTGAGGGTCCCCATGAAGTCATGAGTTTCTCTGGGAGGATTCATCTGCACAGTCTTAGATTTCAAGCCTACTGAGCTAGAAGGGACACAGCAGGGTGGGACTGCTTGAGATAGTTGTTGTCACTCCCAGAAGACCAAAGTCCTGGTCTGGAATTTTTACCTAAGCACATTTAAATACCATGCTCTTTTTTGATGCTCAAAGTTTCTGTGTGACCTCAAAATCTAGGGAAGTAATTGCATATACTCCAAATGGCACTGGATACCCATCTTCATGTAATCCCTTCTCCAGCAGGCATTAGTAAAATTAAAAATGTCTTCCCTTGGTATGGGTTTTGTATTGTTTGAAAGCCTTGGAGAAGAGAAAATATGAGTTACTTGATCCTTATAGAACAAGAACCTATTCCTAGTTCTTAGCTCAAAGAAAAATCAGCTCTGGATTTCTCTCAGTCAAGTGGTCTTCCCAAGCAAGAGCCTGGTTGGGGCACCTGCAGGAGGACTCATTCATCAGGCTCAGGCAGGGAATTTGTCACTCTGTATCTTTGAGTATTCTTCATGAATTAAGTTTTGTCCTTTTAAAAAAGTCTTAAAAGCTTTGTCATTTTTATGGGAAATCCCTAAACTAAATGTGCTTTTGTATGAATTATTGTAATGAGTTAGTCATTGTTAGGAACCAAACCAAGCCCTGGAAGGCTAAGATATGTATATCCCAGAGAGAGACCCCAAAGGAAAGTTGTCATGTACACTCTGCCTCCTTCACATGCACACACATACACACCACAGGCACACACCCATCCATTCACATGCTTCTTGCACACACCTGCATCGTGTCTATTAACATAGTCCACAAAAGGTGTCACTGGTTTCTCTCCCCGTACCTTATTCTGACCTCCTCAAGGGTGGAAATAACAACTTTTTTGTTATTTAGTAACTGGCTTGGCACTTGTACAAACAGTGAGAGCTCAATAATTGTTCTTGGATAAAGGGATGGATGAAGGCAAGTATACATGAATGAACAAAATGTTACACTACTTCAAGGCACATGATAAATTCATATTTGAAAAATGTTACTGCCAGTTTTGCTGATGAGAAAACCACAGTCCAGAGGGAGTGAGTCAGCCACTGAAGTGACAAAGCAGAGAGCAGAAAGGGCACCTTCTGTCATATTACTCATCAACAACTCCTGCAAACTGACGACCACGGCCACATCGAAAACTCAAGCTATGGAACAAAACCTATTTCTCAGAGTGTGAGACAGGGTAGGTGATATTTTCTCTGAGTTTCAGCATTATTTGTATCTACATACTTGGAACAGTATCTGCTAGCATTTTCAACACTGAGGTCTGTGCCAAGAGCAGCCAGACACAGAACAAGAGAACAGGGACAATGCAATTCACGGCGGGTCCTCACTGTGTCTTAAATCACTCATGCAAGGATACGGTTAGTGATTTACAACATCTGTCAGGAGACAGGTTCTACGTTGGCTGGGGTGGACAGAAAGAGCCCTCCCAGGACCAGGCTTAAACTGGGTGCTCAGTGAGCCAACAATGAAACAAGTTTCTATTTAGAAACCATAAAGAAGTTGTTTAACACATGAAATATCAGTATCCTTGAACATCTCTAAGGATTAGCCTTTTTCTGTTTTAAGAAAGATAGTTTCATCTTTATGGCTCTGAGTTGGTGAGCATTTCTTGGCACGGTATGTTCTGTGAATAAAAGCCCTGGATACAGTCCTACAGTTCACCAGGTAAGTCTGATAACCATTTCACTATTTTCTTAAACAAACAAATCAATAATTATACTGGTAAATTCAACATTAACAAATGGCTTAAAATCTATTCTAGACATAAGCTCAGACAAATAACCAATTTGATAAAAATAGTTTTTACCATCCCTTCAATTCAGTTCCCAAAGTCAATAAAGTAAGACAGCTAGCTGGCCCTTCCATGATTAACTCAGCATGCCAGGAAGGAAAAATGAGACAGCATTTCCCACAGATTAGATGGCCAGAAAGAGTGCATCCTTTACCTTGGTCAAAGGGCTTGTTGGGATTCCAGTTTCTGAAATAATCATCCTACAAAAGGAAACAAATAGAAAACAAAGGTCAGATTTCAGAACTGTCTCATAGAACTGCACAAAAATTTGACCTACTCCCACTTCCTATTCCTCAAAACACAAAGGAAAACACTGACAGCTTAGAAGTCTTTCCCCAAGCAGGCATTAGCAAATAATCAAAAACATTAATTTAGTTTTCAAATTCTTGTCTTTCAAAGTGAATGAATTAAATATTGGGAATGATAAAAAATAAAATCTCAGCCCAATATGGAAACAGCATTACTCATCTTGGTTTGACATATAAACCCAGACACCTTCCAAATGCAGGCTATATTTGCTATCACTTATACTGAAGGTGATGCCTGACTGCTCTCATGTATGATTGAGTCTCTGTGTTTGTAACAGCTGATAATTCAACTGTCAACATTTCTTTTACATGGAGACATGTATCTTGTGGTGCACAGTTCCAGTTTTCCCACAGTGACAAAACCTAAAACCAGAGGGCCAGTCAAATGTTAGAAGGAACCTTAGGTGTGCACTTAGTGAAATATCATTTCTTCCAAGTAAGGAAGGATGGAAAAGCAAAGAAGGCCAACTGGCGGATTCATATGCCTCTCTTACATGCAGTGTGCATCAATTTATGCCTCAGTGCTGGGTCCTTCACGATGCTGAAATTGCAAGAGACCAGGTCACTTATTTCTTCATAGTCATATTAACCCCTCTTGCACTTCTGACAACCGTGCCTTCCAACCAACCACTGTATACTCCCTTGATTCTCCCCCACAGCACTCATCAGCTCCATTGTTGCCTAGTATACCCAGTGTCAGCAAAACCTCAGGTGAAGAGGTGTCACCCCTGCACATCAACCCCACATCAATGCTAGGGCGTTTCCTCCTTTTCAGTTAATATCTAGTTTATTTGCTTTGTGTGTTTGGGGACAGGTACTTTGCATGCAGCCCACACTTTCAAAAAGCTGTCCAAAAGAGGCCTCGATTTCTCTTCTGAAGAAGTTAATTTACATCAAAGCGCACAATTAGTTTAAAATATCATTCATTCGTGCTGTCTCCTGCTGCAGTTTATCTCCCACACAATCTCCTGTGGCTTCCATTGGCTCCCCATCGTTCAATTACCTGGCTTTATTAGATCCTCGTTGAGTTCACCTAAGCCCTTAAATAGATTTTAGGAAACTGGATTTAGAGTAAAATCAGAACATATTGCTTCTTGGCCAGTGGTCTGTTTTCCAGAGCATAAATAAACATGAACAGGTTCCTCTGGATCCTGGAGATGTAGCATTAAACCATTTTTAACGCCAAGGAATTGACCCACTTTGCTCTGGCTTCAATTTCATGGCACAACTGCTCTTCTCACCCACTCTGTAGGGAGTCTTTGAGATCTACACTATGAAATATCACTAAGAAAGATTAAAATGATCTCCTCACAAAAATCTCCCTCCACTTATTTTATTATTTTAATGTTTTTTAGGCAGCACTGAGGTTTGAACTCAGGGCTTTGCACTTGCTAGGCAGGTGCTGTACCACTGGACCATGCCTCCAGCCCTTTAGTGCTCTGCTTATTTTGGATATAGGGTCTGGAACGTGATCATCCTATCTTATGGCACTGCTGGGATGACAGGAGTGAACCACCATGCCTGACTCTTTTTTGGATGAGATGGGGGTGGGTCAGAAACCTTATTGCCCAAGCTGGCTGGAACCATGTTCTTCCCAATCTCAGCCTCCGAAGTAGCTAGGATGATAGGCATGAGTCACTGGCACCCAGAACCATTTATTATTTTAAATAGAACCTGAATCTTTTGGAATTGTGCTGTCTAAGACTTGGCAGTGAGTGCTGCTGAATGGTTTGCAGTTAAGGGTTGGATGCAGGTAGAAAATTTAGCACCTGATTTTTCAATTTGATGGTCAATGTAGTCTTAGCCTTAGACAACCATGTTACCAATAGATTCTGCTATTCACAGTGTCAAAAGAAGAGATAACCCAAGATGAACTCACTCTCACCACCAAAGAACAAAAGCAATAAGCCATCCATCCTTCCAACTGCAGTACGTCAATGTTCTTCTCATACAGAAAATAGCATCAAGGCCAATGACAACGAGGAATCTTGTGAAATATTTTCTACCTGAACATGCTGTCCTAATACCTGGAAGCTCAGGATGTGTGTCCGACAGGGAAGGGCTAGAGCCAAAGACAAGTTCCTTTACTTTAATTTTGCATGTCACATTCTCTTTGATGTCAAAAAAAGGTCTGGGCAAACTCAAGAATGGCATATTCCCTAATGACTTCAACCTACTTCAGAACCTGGATGGAATGTGAAGCATTCTTCTGGACCTTGTCACTTTTGCAGGTTAACTATAATTGCCATTTTTGCATATTTCTGGGGGAAAATCATAGTTTTAAACAGAGAACCTCTAAAAAGCAGATATCTGCATTAGAATATTTAAAACCCATTGCAAATGTAATAATACCACCTAATTCCTGCAAAATGTGAAAGAAGTACACCTGAATGAAAACTCATTATGCAAAATAAGTCCTTCAAACAGCCCCTTGCACTGCAAGGCCAAGCAGGGAAGGAAAATTACCCCTGTGTCTGATTGCTGTTGCCCTACCTTAGGAAATTAGAATGCCAAAGGTCAAACCTGAAATCTCAGGCACATGGCTTTGGCCTGGCCAACAGATAATTCCCCCAACAGAGGCCAAAATCGTGAATACTTGTGACACACCAGAGTCCACCTGGGGGCTGGTCAGTGAGCATGGGGACAGGGCTCTCTAGCTCTCACTGCTGCTGTTAGGGTCTGAGGAGGGATACCAGAGTGCACATGGTCGCCCTTGTACACACCAGCCACCCAGTGAGCCCGTGCAGGCTGGGACTGCTTCAGTGAACTTACTCTGCCTCTGGGAGAAAGTCTGGTTGAGGCAGCATCCGAACCCATGTCCAAAAAGCCAAAGGTAAAAGAATGCCACTTCCACAGCTTTACCTCCTCATATGAGCTCATCCCTGTGTCAATACAGATGCTCAAAGGACAGCTGACTGTGGCCCTAACCAACATTACCAATACCACGGCTGGTTACTTCTCCAGGGTGTAAGACCCAGCTGGCACCCACTAGGTTTTTCTATCTAAATAAAAGCATACAGAGCAGGGCATGGAGCTCAAGCCTATACTCCTCACTACTTGGGAGGTGGAGATCTGGAGGATTGTAGTTTGAGACAATAAAGTTCCAAAGACCCCATCTCAACCAATAAACAGCTGGGCATGTGGTATGCACCTGTAATCTCAGAAACACAGGAAGATAAAGAGAAGGATTGTGGTCCAGGCTAGCCCAGACATAAACGAAAGACCCCCATCTTCAAAATAACCAAAGCAAAAAGGTCTTTGGGCATGGTTCAAGAGGTAAAGCACCTGCCCAGCAAGCATGAGTCCTTGAATTCAAACCCCACTACTGACTCTCCAAAAAAGCCAGCTCTTACAGAATATATACACTATTGTTATTTCTATCTGTTCCCATGCTGGGAAGCAGTGTGCCCGTTTCCACATCACCTCAATGACAAAATGCATGAAAGTGTTTTCCTGGGGCTAGGAACTCAAGGGCAAGCCCAGATGCCAGCAATGTCCAGGACTTTATGCGCCCTCAGCTCTGACGATTCTGGCCCAAAAAAGTTGTGATCGGTTAAAATTCAGACTGGTGAAGGGCACGCTTCATAGATGACACTTGTCAGGTAAGTGTACCTGGCTGAGTTGGCCTCTTGACTAGTAAGTTTATCAGTAGTGATGAAGCTTTTTAAAAAGGCTTGAAAGACCCCAACAATAGTTAATTCTTAAAACATAAACTTAACTATAAGCATGGTCATTTATTAAATTCAGTAACTCCAACTCATGCATTTCCAAGGTTGAGCAAGGAAGGATGGCCATGTTTTGTTACTTCACTTGCATATGTTATGGGCTAGGCTGCAGAGTGCATTCTCACCAGGCATCTCCTGGGCAGAGCAGAGCACAGTCTTGCTCTAAGTTCTAAGCAACCCTAGAGTGACTCCATTTCATGGTACCATTTCATAAGTGAAATGTATGCTAGTCTTTTTTAGGGGCTGTTAAAAACCTGGAAGAGTCTATCAACTTAAATGGAGGCTCAAACTTTAGCATACTGATTGATGTCTGAAATTATAAGTATCTCAGAACAGCAGGCAATATTTTAAAGGACCAGAATAGTGATCTAAATAAGAAAGTGACAAATCATTACATGTCTAAGATGAGGAAGAAGAGGGTGGTTGGTGCTGGTGGAAGAGAAAGAATCAAAGACTATTAGGATCACAGCCATAATATTTTAATCCTCTATAGATGGTCAACATAGATAAAACCAATTATCTCACTAACTAAATATCCCCCTAACAGAAGTGCTGGATGCTATAAGGAATTAACTGGATTTTCAAATACATTAGTGATATTCTGCTTAACATCTTTGGGAGAGAAAACCCATTTTATATGCATACATATGGATATATGCCACACACTATATATAATAGATACTGGCAAACATTTATATATTAATATGTATTAATATGAAATATTAATTTATATAAGGAAAGTATATGAGAGGATGTGAATAGGCCATATGCACATATTACACTATTTGGTGTGAGAAACTTGACCACCCACAGTTTTGGGTGTCTTCCAGAGTCTTGGAACTGACCATACAGAGATGTTAAGGGATGACTGAATATGTCAAGAACTTCTACTCTATAGTATATCTTACAAGGAAATCTTTAAGTCTGCTTAACATGAAATGATGACAAAGTATTCCCACTATAACTTGGGTGATCAGGTCCTTTCACATGGGTGGATATAACCAATGACAAAAATCTATGGTTCCAGTCCATTTTGAATGGGAGCATGAGTTTTCTTTTCCTATGCCACAGTCCCAAAATGGCTAATGCAATTTAGCTCAAATATTCCCCAGGGATTTTCCTTTTTTATTTTATTGTATTTATTCATGTATATGAATTGTACAAAGGGGTTTCATTGTAATATTTTCATATGTGCATATAATGTATTGTGATCACATTCACTTCCTCCATTACTCTTTCTTATCCCCAGGATTTGCCTTTTAAGAGGTATCTACTTCAGCTCCAAGAATGTCAATGCCAACTCTGAGGGAGAGCTGGAGGGCAGAACTAAACAAAAGCCACTCTGGAAACCCAAATGCTTTAGCTGCTGATTATGAAGATGAGGGTGTAATCTATCATATAACAGAACTTCAGATGCCACAGATCAAAGACATTTAGCTCACATGAAACAGATAATTTCTCCCTCATACATATTTTAGCTAAACGGTTTGAACCCTGCAGTTTCATCTGAAGATTACCTGAGATAATACAAATTACCAGACTGGAAAATATAATGGGAGCCTCATTTGTCTGGGCCAGGGATGAGCAAAGTGCCCTCAGCAGAAGGAAGCAAAGTGTAGCGAAGGCAAGACAGCCACTGTGGGGTCTTGGGTAGGCCCACAGTCAGTCAATACAAATGGGAGAAACATGTTCCTGCTTTGTAGGGGAACGGCAGATCCCAAAGGCAGACGCCACTTTATCAAACCCCAAATCAAACTACTTTCAAGGGGATTCAGTACCAACTAATTTATTTCATTTTCATGCTACTTGACTGGGGATAATAGGAAGACATATTGTTGGTTGGTGGGTGAGAGAAGGGTCCCTAAAACGATAACAGAAGTCATCAGAAAAGTGAGATTTCCAGACAAGTTTATACAAGGGCATCTGCTATATAATGTGACATTTTCTTACAATTTGAATTTGTGTGTGATGGAAATCGCTGCTAATCAAGCTAATGTAAGCTGCAAAGCACTTCATTTATTGAGGAGATGATAGCTTCCCACACAACCACCTCACCCCAGCTGTATCTATTCATACTTCTAAACAAGCAGTGTGTCTCCTCTCTGCCAGGTCTGCCCCTTCCCATTCCCAGAAGAGCCCCAATGGGGATTCTTCTGAATGACTCAGGTGCTTGGCCCAATGTGGGCTGCGATTTGAGGCCTTCTGACATCCTCATGAGAGCCCTGTCCACCAGGAATGGTAGCTGTGTGCACTAATGCATTTTGGTGTGCACATATTATCCCCCCAGCACCTGGACCTAGGCCATTGCTGAGCAGGGATGGGTCTTACTCACCTGCCTATTCCCTAAGGAATTACTTGATGGCACAATAAATCCTTGCTGAATTGCTTCAAATGTAAGTAAGCTGTTCCAGCTTCATTAACATCTCTATAGTCCCTGTGAAATTCTCACAACTGTTACTGGTGTGTGTAAGAACAGGTAGGCGTATGTTTATACACACACTCTAAATCACTTTCATCCTGAATAGAGCGATTCTTTGATAAATTGGCCTGACATTTAGTGCAAAGTCCTGCAGGCCTTAGACAAAATGATTTAGAAAATAACAATGACAGTTGCTCTGCTCTTTCAATAAATAACCCACCAGTAAAACACAGGTAATAACTGACAATCATACTTGTACTGTAACTAATGAGAAAAGATAAAGCAGCAAATGGACTGTTTATATACATTTGATAAATTGCATCCCCTGGCTATATTAATGAAAAATAAATGTGTGCAGGACTGGTTCACTGAACGAAAACAAATATTTACTACTGAGATTTAAGATTTAGCATACAGTTTATATTTTATTTGGCAACAATTTTGATGCTATGTCTACATACAGTTGAAAAGTCAAAAACCTACCTCAACTTCCTGAGTACGAAAGCATTATGGATGGAAAAAAAATAAAAGAATCACATCAAACAATAGGAAGGAATGTATACATTTTTGATAATTACATTGAAATTTCAAGTTTTCATGCCATTAGAAAGGTCATACTCAGATATCTTTTTTTTAGTCACCTACCATTGTTCCTTTGAGAAGGTTCCAGACTTCATGTGGTTTATGGGAAAGGGCTTGAGGTTATAGAGTAGAGTAACTGAAGTGGGAAAACCTGAGGGTGCTCAGTGATATAAGCACTGCTGCAAAACAGTTAGCAAAATCATGACGAAATTCAAACACTTAATCACAATTCCCATCTGGGAGAATTTCAAATGAGTAAGTGCTTATGACATCAACTCTAAGGGCAATATTCAGTAAAACTCCCAAGATGACATCAAAGACCCAGAGTGACAGACCATCAACATTTCTGAAAAAAAAAAAAAAAAAAAGATTATTTTTGCCTTGCAGCTCCAAAATAGCTAGAGGAGCTTCAAACCTGAGAAAAACATGGATTTAAGGTTTTAGAAAATATGTAAAGTGAGAAGGCTTGGTATGGCCCCTCCAGCTGATGAAGGGATTAAAACAACCACAAAGAGCTCTCCCTTCTTAGGGACTTTCTGTGTCATTCCATCCAAACTGGAGTACAGAGGAGTAACTTACTACCATGGTCTTTTCCCAAACAGAAAAAGTGGGTCTGAGGTTCCTTCCCAAAACTGTGCTAAATTTTGTGGGTTTTTCTTCTGGGGATATGAGGGGTTATGAGACAAGAAATGTCTTCCCAGATAAGAAGTACCTATGTCCTTGACCTCATTAGAAAAATCACCAAATTGTCTATGCTAACCAAGAGACACCACCTTCTCCTTATTTAGGAAGGAGAGAAGTCGGTACTGTAGAACAAGGCAGAAGAGATGCTATAAACAGGGCAGGCTTTGAAGCAGGTGTGAGCTCAAATCTCTGCTATAGAACTCACCAGTTGTGTGGTCTTGTGTGACACACTTGACTTCTCTGGGTCAGTCCTTATTCATAAAACATGACCACTTGTACCTACCAGGAAGGATGATGTCAATGATTCATGACAGTGATGCAAGTTGCTGAGCTTATCGGCTGGCACACAGAATTAATAAATAAAAGACACATATTTTCATGTTCACCTTCAGAGATTTATGGCAGTGACAAGTCCCAGGAATACAGAGGTAAACATTAGGCTTTGTGGAAATAATGTGTTCAGAATTTCAATAATGTGATTTTTATACACTTGAATTTCACCAATTAGGCCCAAGTGAAGGGAAACCAATTGCCACTGGGAAAATAATTATAAAATATTTTTAAGGGCATATAATTTTATCAGTCTCATGTATGAAGAGTGAATTAGAAAAAGGTCCAATGAAATTTAAAAACTTGATATGCTACGTGTGTGTGTGTGTGTGTGTGTGTGTGTGTGCGCGAGTGTGTATGAAGACAGCATAATAAAACCCACCAAACACTGACAAGGAGGGGAAAAGGGAAGAAGAAAGTAATGGAGGGGTTAACGTGTTTAAAGTATGTTGTATGTACATATGGAGTTATCACAATGAAATCTCCTTGTGTTATTAATGTACTCTAATGCAAATATAAAATAAAATTGAAAAAATTTTGAAAAGTCAAGTTGCAGGCATGTTTCTGTTTAAAGGCCTACTTCCACTAAGGTCCAATGACCTTCATTTACTAAACGGAATTCACTTACTACAAAAAGACAATGCCTGTTACATGGGGCTGTTTTGTGCATTGAAGTCTAGTGCTTTGAACTACTGTACGGTATTACTTATCATACAAATGTAAGCAAATTAAAGTTTCAATTATGATTAACTGTACCCTAATAAGGGGACTGGCCCTGAATGCAAAATTTCTGCATGTAGAAAACTGATGGTGGAACCCTGAATGTGTCTCTCATTGACTCATCCAACAAGGCCCTTCCTGTCTTATAGAATGCAAAGCTTTATTTTACATAATGTACAAATTAGACTGGCCTAAGGCCAAGCCTTGTTCAAGTATCACAAATTGCAAATTAATTAGGTCTCACCATCTTTTTGAGAATGTCCCCTACCCTCACTGGCAGCCTTCCGTGAGCAGCAGATGCTACCTTTTAGGGAATGAAGCATCAGCTAGGAACCATCCCTCACTCTTTCTTTCCCACTTGTCCTCTCTGAGAAATGCCAACCTCAGAGGCTGGTGAAAACCATATTCCTTGGGGAGTCTTCCAATCACTGATGTCCCTGGAGATGCTGACTCAGGGGACTGGAGTGTGAAATCTACATTGGATTTTTTTAAAAAGTTTTCCTGGTAATTTTGATGTATAGCCCTCAGTGCATAAAAGACACACTAACTCAATCACAGTGACCAAGGTGACCAAGGGAAGGTTGGCCCAACTATGGATAGCATACAAGATACAAAACACCAGAGGCTTCTCCCCCAGCTTCTGGATCATTCCAGAATTGTCTGCACTCCTACCCTCACAGTCCCTCAAGGCCTTCCCAGCTTGCAACAGGGCACCTCAGCCCACACAGCTGCTGCCCATCAAAAACCCAGGCCACAGGTTGGATTCTGTTTTCTTCTTTCCCTTTGCCATTTGGGAAGTAACCAAGTCCTTCTTCCTCTCATTTGTGGGTCCCTCTTGCATCTCCTTGCTTCTGTACATTGACACAACTTCTGTCTCAGCCCAGACATCTGGCCCATCCTGCATCACTGCCATGTGCCCTGACCAGCCTCCTTGCCTTCCATGAGATTCATCTAGGTTATTCTCCATACTGCTCAAGAGTGACCTGCTAAAGTACGTTCTGGTCACATCACTTCCCTTTTAAAGGGGCTCCCAGGTGTAGGCCAATCCCACTAGTACAATTTATAGGATTCTCCCTCATCTCCCATGGTCCAGGCCCAGTGAAGACTTATGGTCTCCCTGTGGCCACACTCAAGTTCACAGGTTCCCTTCCAACCACAAATGAAGTGCTTTGTGGGGCCTAGAACAGCCCATGCTCACCTTGACCTCAGAAACCCTGCCCATGTTATCTCCTTTCTTCATGAAACACACCTCCTCACCCCTCTTTGGCTATCATGTATACTTGCTCTATCAAACACTAGCTTACATGATGCTTTTCATAGGAAGTCTGCACTGTCCCACTTACTCTGTGCCTGACTGTGATCTGTTACCCCTTATTCTGCCCCCTACCAAACACCAAACCATCCCCATCACAGCAGCTGACTGCTCCCCCACAGCTCTGCCACAGAGTACAGCCCTCAGGGCCAGGTTGGGCAGCTCCACTGTGGGGCCTCAGGACCCAGTGTAGTGCCTGTATTCAATAGGTACATGATAAATGGCTATCGAATGAACAGAGATAAGATTCAACCTCTGCTGACCTTTATGGCAGTATCTTGGGTTACATCTCCCTACTTTTTTCCTATAATTCAAAACTATAGGCTCTGTGATGGAGCTGAGGAAGATGTCTTTGACAATGATACACCAACTGGGGCAGACACAGGGACCTGGACACCAACAATGATGATGTTAGAAGTCCTTGGAGGGATGGGTCAGCATGAGGAGAATTACTGGGGACCTCTGTGTGACATCCTCCTCCTACATCTCCTAATACCCCAAGTCATCCTGGGAACAAGCAGAGTTAATGATGTGAAACACCACAGCTGAGCCGAAATCTGATGGTATATTCAGGACTTGAACCAAATTGAAGTGTAGATCAAAAAGTTAAAATAAAATTAAAAATCAAAGTAATAGTAATAAGAATAAACTAATAGCAATAGTAAACAAAGTAATAGCAAACAGTAATAATAGCTGCTAACATGTTTGCTATAGTGCTAACGTGTGTTTATTCTATTTAATCCTTTACAGTGACTGTCTAAGACAGATGCAGTTAGTATCCCCAAATCATAGACAGAGAAACTGGAGCTTAGAGAGATAAATAACTGCATAAGGTCATTCAGCTAGTAAGAAGCAGAATGGGATTTGAACTCAGTGTTTGCTTGACACCAGAGAGCATGCTTTCACCAAAACACAGCTGCCTCAATGGCACCATATGAGTGAATGGGCAGTGATGAATGTGAAGACTGAAGAGCATGGTATGAGGCATGTGGCTGACTGTCCTGTAGAGATGGACCACAATGGCTTCAGGAAACACTAAGGGATGGGAAAGGAGTGCTCAGAGTCCTCCCAAAAGACTCTCATTACCACTGCTGAGACCAGTGGTGCATCTGAACCTCAGCTTCCCTATCTACAAAATGGGAAAATAGAAATGCCTGTCCCACAAGGGGATTAGATGGCAACTCCATGTCATTGTGACTACAAGAACACAGGTGAGATGCCCTGACTTCCAGATCCACACCACACCTGAACCGATCCTCTCTGAGATGGCTCTCTGAGTTGAATGGTATCTTCAGCACCAAGGACAACAGCCTCAAGAGCATGCCAGCGTGAGGCACAGGGATCCCTTGAACTGGAGAGTTGTGTGTGGACTGATGACTGACACTCCACGTGCCTGCCACAGGCACTCCCAGGAGCCCAGTTCAAAGTGGTACATCCAACACGGACATCAAAGCACTGAGCAGAGGATGTAGCAGCTTTCGCAGAGGCCATCCCTCTGGAAAACTACAGTTTGCATGAGATTTTCATTAGTTGCACAGGTGGGCCCAGGACAGCTCTTCCAAGCCCTGCCATTCAGCCTCTTCTTTTCCACAGAACACCTGGGAAGGGCAGTCATAAAGAGTCCCTTCACTGTGTCCCCAAAGCTCTCCTAGTACCAGCTTGTCAGTGATCCTCTGCACCCCAGTCTTTGGGCCACTGACATAGCATTTGCTTCTCTCCAAAGACTCCCAAATAAATCCCATGGAGCTCTTTTGTTCACCCCAAGCTCACAATGGCACAGTCAGGATTTGAGAGTCCTCATGTGACATTTGCAACATCTGAGGTGACATTTCCTGCCAGGATAAAGGGTAAGCAAAGTAAACAA